ACCCCATCTGAGGGAATGAAGTCAGTGGCTCCAGTGATGCCAACTGTTCTTAGCGGTGGATCTTTAGGAGGGCTGGGGCTTCTCTGCAGGCTGCACCCCAGGGTGGCTACTGTCCTCCCCTGTGCTGCGGTCACTGCCTTGGAGGGAGGCCTCTGGGGAATGCCTTTGTTGCCTCTTGCTCCAGTTTACGTAGTCATTCTGGGAGTCTTCTAGGATGATCAAGAAAGGATTAGATGGCAAAGCAAAGTAAGCCTGCTTGCTTTTAAATAATGTTATTTTAGGGGAAAGGGCCCAACCCCAAAATAAACCAGGTTTCGAGCAAGAATTTGAATTAATTCTGACAACATAATCTAAAGTGCAGAGTTTGCCTTCGGGCTATGTAGTGGTTTTTTTGGGTTTTTTTGTCAACTCTAGTAGGAATAGAGTCAGGAGAGGAAGGGGTTTTTATTTTCAGGCCTGCAGTTTATTGTTGCTAATCAGAATTTACTAAGCTTCTCTGAGATGAACTGAAAATGGAAACAGATCAGCTTTCTTCCTCCTTCTGTCCTCTCCCCTACTTCTGGAGGATCTATGATGTTTTAGGGCTGCCTCTCTCAGCTCTGTTCCTTTCAGAATCAGCTTCTCCATTTCAGGCTAACCTACAACCCATCTCTACGAAATTAAAAGATTTCAAAATTCTCTAGAGACAAAGTCAATACAGAGTGGAGCACCTGCTAGCACCATCTAGTTGAGGGCCTTGGTGGCACCTGCCCAGCTTGCCAGGGGTGTGCTACCGAGAGCTATATCCCCAGTCATTTCTAAAAATTTTTAAAACTTTGAGACAGGATCTCATTAAACTGCCCTGAAAAAACTCAAAAAAAATTTTTTTTAATTTTATTTATTTATTTGTGTGTGTATGTGTGGCCAGCTCAGCCCACCAGGAGGCAGGGCTGGCTGGCATGTGGTGCTGGGGGATTGAACCGCGGTCCCTCTGCTTTGTTTAGCTTGTTCTAAGTAGGTGCTTTACACCACTGAGCCATCTCACCAGCCCAAAACTCAAAATTTTGATCCTCCTTAAATGCTAGGCTTACTGGTGCCACCTTGTCTGGTTTGGGATTCTGCATTTCTATCAAGCTCCTCCAAATGACACTGGCGCTGCTGGTTGAGGACCACAACTTCAGCAGGCTTTGGGCCATGGGCATCAAAGTCACTTATAGGTGCTTGTAAAATACAGATTCCTGGGCATGACCCAGCTGCTACTTGGGTTCTTCCAGTACGTGGGGGGTAGGTCTTAGGAATCTGCCTTACCCAATAGCATGCCAAGGAAACTCTGGACACTGCCTTAGCATTTCTCTTAGTTTTCTCATTGCTAAGAGAAAATATGATACAAAAAATTAAAGAAAAAAGGTTTATTTTGGCTAAGAGCTTATAGAGATTTCAATTCATAATTGGCTGGCTCCAAGGCAGGTTGACATGGCAGAGGAATCCAGAGGAAAGTTCATAGTGAGAAGGCAGCAAAAGCGGCAACAGTGACCACAGCATCCCTTAGGACAGATAGAACTCACACAGAAGGGGGAGGACCCTTAGTCCTAGCATCCCATTCTTAATGCCAGCACCACACACCCTATATTCAGCCACCTGTGAAAAGCTCCACCTATGACCACATGAGGCTTTGGGGGACATCTAGATATAAGCTATGACAGCATCGTGATGTGGATGCGAGGTATGGGGGGAGGGCCTGCCTTAAAGTCACTGCAAATCAGGGTCACTTCCTGTGGTCTGGGCTCCTCTTGCCCTCTCACCCCCATTCAGCATGAAGCAAGACCGGTGGGCTCTTCCTCAACCTGTATTCATATTATCTTTAAAAGACTTAGTGAGCAGACAGACTTGGAGGTGGAATGAAACCAGACTGGTAAATGTTGACAATTGTTAAAACTATGAGTTGGGGCTGAGAATATAGCTCAGCGGCATAAGTGTCTGCTTGGCAAGTGCAAGGTTCTGAGTTCAATCCCTAGTATCAGGAAAAAAAAAAAAAAGCTGAGTGCATTTTACTTGCTATTTTTGCTCATATTTTAATGCTTCCATAATAAAATGTTTTACTTTTGAGTCATAGAACCAATAAATTGACTTCTGGGAATTTATCTTAGTTTACATTTTAAATAAAGGAAAATCTTTACAAATGAATACATTTTCTAAATAACAGTATTGAAAAATTGGGAACACATGAAAGCCTTATAATAGGAAAATGATAAACTATGGAATATCCTTCAATAGGACTTTATATAATTAAAAGCATTTATTTAGGCTATGTACTAGCAGGGAAATATGATATACTCAATAAAAAACCAAGACACAATGCCTGATTAAAACTATAAAAGATTTGTATCTTAAAAAAAAAGACTGAATTATAAAAATATTTTTTAAATTTATTTTAAAATAATGCAATAGCTTCTGCCTCTTGGGAGAAGAGGGTGCTGGAATTTCAGTTAGGGGAAAATGAACCCCCTGGGCTCACACCTGTACCCCTGCCACAGCCCCCTATTATCTCTCTGACTCCACTCCTCCTCCCCAGCCCCATCTCCACATGCCAGCAGAAGGAATTACAGATCAGATCATCACCTTCTCCTGTCCAGAATTCCACAAAAGGCTCCGTGTAATATCTTTCCAACTAAAAGCCAAGTCTAGTCCTCAGCCTGGCCCTGCAGACTATAGGAGCTGAAGTCAACTGGTCACCCAGGTCTGCTGCTTCTTTCTGGCTCCTGTCACCATTAATGCTCACAGGCCAGCCTTGGGGCTTTACAGGGGCTACTTCCTCTGCTGGGAATGCGCAGCTTCCAGCTACCTGAACAGTGTGCCCCTTCCCTCTGTAAAGCAGCTTTTCTCCTCCTCTGCACCCTATGCCTTTTTCTTTAGAGCACTTACCAACACTTCCTACAGTATACTTTTTTATTATGCCTTCCACTTTCTAGACTGCAAATCCTTTAAGAACAAAGACTTTTGCTATGTACCTACTACCTGAAGGCCTGGCACATAGTAGGTGATCAATACTTGTTAAATGAAAGAATGTGGAATTAACTCCAAGGGATGAGTAAACTTCACGTAGTGGGCCATTTCTTTACTGACCTGTTCCTTCTAAAACCTAGCAGTGGCAAATCCATGGCACGTGCCCCGTGGAAACCATGGTGGCTGATTTTTTCCAGCAGAGTCCTCTTCAAGATGCATCCTTGAACTGAGGGTAACAAGAGCACAGTGGCTAAGAGAACTGGACTTGGGAGGACAAACATTGGCTTAACACCACCAGTGCACAGCTTTGGGGACATTACATTTGTTTTCCCTGTGCAGAAAGACAAGGGGATAACAGTCACTACTTCCCAGGCTGGGATGGGGCCTATAAAGCACTTGGCAAGCACAGTGCCTGGCGTGGACTAGGTGTACAATAAGCAGCAAATTAATCAATAGCCACATATGTGCCTTTGTCTCTTTCAAGTTTACACTGTGGTCTTAAATACATAGCCTTTAGCTGATTTCAGCTCTCAACACCTGTGGGTTTTATCACCACTTTACAGGCGAGGAAGCTCGGTTAAAGAGTAAAGTGCTTGCCCACACAGCACACCTGAATCTGAGAGCTCCCCTGACCCTACTTCTAGAACACAAGCTATCACTGCTGTAGATGCCAATCCAGACAATATGGATGGCCTGGCAGAGCCCTAGACTCGTGTGTGTGCTTATTGTAAGGCTGTAATGGCAGAGGAATGAGAAATAAAATTAGCCAGTGAGCCATGCTTTCTTTCACAACATAGTTCCCCACTGTGGCTCTTCTGGGTCAGGCTTGAGAGCAAGTCCAGACAGATAAGCTGTCTGTGCCAGGATTTAAAACACGTCACTGCTTTCCCAAAAGGGACACTACAAGTGTTTTCAGAGGCTTCCCCTGCTTAGAGTCAGCAATAGCTCCAGGCGGCAAATGCTGGCTTTGGTGTTGGAGATAGTCCTATAGCCTCTGACCTGTGACTCACTGTGCTCCTGACAACAAAGGTTTCCTTCCAAAGCCAATCAAGGGAGAAGCCTCCACATGCAGCTCTGGGCCACCCATCTAGGACCAAAGGTGGAGGAAGGTCAACGGCAGGGAAGAGATCAACAGGTGACAGATGTGAAAGCTTAGAACGCTAAGGTCAAAAAATCACTCTGGTGTTGTGGGTTGTAAGAACTGTGGTATCTGAGAGACAATGAACCAATGGCTCTAACACCTCGATGCCTCACAGCAACAGCAGATAGATGGGGAGGGTAAAAGGATACTTCCAAACTGGGAATTCAGATGGCTCCTGGGTCCTGAGCATCTTCTCCACGTCAGGGGCAAATACTCATTTGGGAACAGATTTTGGTCCAGGAAACAGGCTCTGGACACTAAGCAGGCCCTTGAAGGCAGCCTCAGAGGATCCTGTCAGATCCCAAAGTGCAGATGCCCAAGGATGCTTTCTGAGGCTCTGACGTTACCAGGTTTGTGGCAGCCATCAGTGACCAAGGACTGAGAGAAATACCACGGTCACCTGCCTTGGTAACATGTGCTCCTCACAGGGAATGTGTTGTGAGAGGCAGGGTACTTGGCTACCCTGGAAGTCTGCAAGCACTATAACTGCCATGTGCCATTTGCACAGTGCTTCTGATGGAGGACAATGTTTACACAAGGCCTGGCAATGGTCCTGCAAGCAGAATGACAATGGGTCTGGCCAGGCAATGGGCACAAGTCTGGGGGTTACACTGGGGGCTACCAGGAAAAATGGGCAATAGACCTACCCCAATCCAGGGTTTATCCACTTTTCAGTTAAGGTCACTTTAGGTGTCTATGCTAATAGACTTCACTGATTTTTTAAAATGAGAGAATTCTAGGGTAGTCATGACCTTGTATCAAAACTATAAAATTCTCAAGCCAGGCATGGTGGCACACATCTGTAATCTCAGCACTTGGGAGGCTGAGGCAGGAGGATCGCTGCAAGTTCAAGATCAGCATGGGCTACAAAGTGAGCTCAAAGCTGGCCTGAACTTCATAGCGAGACTCTCTCAAAAAGACAAACACAAAACAAAACAAAACACTATAAAAAACTTCCCTGGAGAGTTCAGCAGTCTGCTCCAAGTCGGGCAGATCAAAACACAGATGTTGGCCTGCTCTGCTAAGTGGAGAAAACAGCAAGAAGCACATGGGGTAGGGGGGCATTTGGGCCCTCAGCAGCTTGGAAGTCCAGTGCCCTGCGATGGAAAGTCCTCTTCCTCCGTGGGACTGTCCTCGATCTCTGACAGGCAAGAAGAGGAGCTTGCAGTTCTGGGAGAACCTTTGGCTATAGTGCCCCTGCCAGATAGGTAACATGCCCCAGCCAGCATCAGAACTCATCCCGGAGCTGAGGGGGCCTGTCCATGCCAAAGAAAGAGGACTGCTTCCCTTGAAGATCCCGCTCACGCTTCACAAAGGCAGTGAAGGAGGACACACAGTTGCCAATGAAGTGGTCAGCTTGGCCGAGGATGTACAGGTCGATCTGGGCCACCTCTGGCTTCAGACTCACCACCTTAACCTGCAGAAGGAAGGCAGAAAATGTGAGCTGAGGTGACTATAGGCCCCCAGGGCCAGATTGGCAATCTTCCTTCCCAGAACTGCAAGGATATAGAGTGGAGGAAGAGTGGGCAGTAGGTACACGTAGGGTCAGGCGTCTGAGTGAACTGCTGGCCAGCTGCTGCCTCTCCTCTGGTCTCAGCTTCTCCTGTACCCTTGATATCTCCGTGTGTTTGCCTGCAGGGTTCCCCTGCCCAAGTACCTTTCCTCCATCTATTAAAGTCCTGACAAGGGTTGGTGTGTCCTCAGAGTTAGTCAGATTAGTTAGCAGACATAAAGCTCTGGGTTCAGGCCCCAGCACATGTGTACCTGTGTGCATATGCTCATGCTCCACACCCCACTCCCCACCCCCAAGCAGGCTCTCAAGGCTTAGCTCACATTCTGTCACTCTTACAAAGTCTTAGCCTGATGGGCTTCTCCACCAAACCTGAGATTGGCGCAGTCACCCACCCATCTGGTTCTGCTGCCTGGATGCCTCCCTCTCCCCCATCTACTCCAGGCCTTAATTCCTGTCTGTTCCATGCACTTGCCCACCCCAGAGGTGAATCCTTCCAGTGAGGGACTGGCATCCCACAGGCCCAGCCACAATCCTCTCTTGTCCAATCAGCTATCACAGCTGCCTCACTCTCTTGCCATCTCTCCTGGCCTGTGTACCATAAAACAAAGGAAACTAAATTTCTGTTTTTACATTTTTTTGAGAGGTTCTTCTAGATAACCCAGGCCAGTTTAGAACTCTTAATTCTCATGCCTCTGGGTTCCAGAGTGTTGGGATGATAGGTATGCACCACTGTGCTGGGCTAGGGCATCTTATTTGTCAGCACTCTTGATAGGGCACTGGCCCAGGCACATGGAGGAGCAAGGCTTAATGCAGACAGAAAGGCGGGGCTTGAGCCCAAGAGAAGGGGCTTAGCAGGGGTGGGGACAGGCCAGAAGACAGCCCGGAACAGGAAACAGAAAATGGCAAGAGGCTCAAGGTGCTACAAACACTTCAACTCTAAAGCTCATAAAAAAACTCCCCGGGACTCTCCAAGTGCTTCAGCTTAGTACAGAGGTGCGGAGGGGTGTGGGCAGACAGAGCTGAAAGTGCTCTGCTGTTCCACTGAATTTCTGATACAAGAAAAACCATCAGCTTGCTACTGGGGTTCTAGTAAAGAAATAAAACCATTTTAATCATGGCCAAAATCCCCCAAACAATTCCGCCCACACCCTGAAACTTACCCAGTCTGTGTCATGCCCACTATAATTAGCTGGGATCTCCTGAGTAAATTCCATCTCTTCTTGAGACCTTGGTTTTTTAGTTATAAAAGGGAAGGCTGGAATGAAAAGACCCTTAGGTCTCCCAGCTTGATGTCTTGGCTATTAAATGGGTGGGGAGGGGACCAGAATGCACCAAGCCAGCACTTCTACCAGATGGAGCTTTCTTGTTTCGCGCGCACGTGCGTGCATACGTGTGAATAAGAGAAGGCAACACCTCTCAATGCCACTTTTTTATTATTATTATTAATGTGTTTGATACACGGTCTTGCTGCGCAGTTCAGACTCCTAGTGATCCTCCTGTTTTCAGCCTCCCCAGTGCTGGGATTACAGATGTGCACCACCATGCCTGGTGGCTGGCTGAGCGCCTCCAGGGGCAGGGCCTGCGCTTGCCTAAGAGGCACTTAGTCCACTGAGCTAGCTCACTGACCCTCAATGTCAGTTTCTTATGACTTGCCCAATATTTAGGGTTTTCATTCATTTTTGCCCTGAGCTCCATTATCAGCCATTTTAAAATTTTTAAATCTTTATTGGTTTTTTTTTTTTTTTAACATCAGGAATCAAACACATGAATCTCATATTTTCATACTTGCCAGGTAGAGGTTGTGCTGCTGAGCTTTATCCCTGGCCCTGATTGTCTTTTTGAGACAGTGTTTTGCTGTGCAGTTCAAAGTGGCCTTGAACTCACAGCAGTCTCTTGCCGCAGCCTCTAAGTGCTGGGAGTACAGGTGTGAACCACCATGCCTGGCTAAATTTTTCATTTTTACTTTGCCGTAGGGTCTAGGTTGCCCAGCCTGAGCTTGAACTTGTGATACTCCTGCCTCAGCCTCCTAGAGTGCTGGGATTACTGGCATGCCTCATTATGCCTGGCTCAGAGTCAATACTCTTCACCTTTCTACCTTACTGGCTCTCTTCTCAAAACCCATTCTCTACGTCCTTACTTAACAAGCTGGGTGCTGTGTGTCTGGCACTGTCCTAGGCACTGGTGATGGTAAGGAAGGGTCTCAGGCTTCAAGAAGTCAGAGTACAAGGTTAGACATCAAATACCAGGAGAGTGGTTCATCCTTGAATCCTACTCCTTGGATAAAGTAGCCACATTTGCACACAAGTCTCAGTCAATCAAGAAAACGCCTTACAGGCTGGGGAGACGGCTCAGTGGAATAAGCGCTTCCCTGGCAAGCGCAAGGACCTGAGTTCAATCCCTGGTTCCGCCAAAAAAAAAAAAAAAGAAAATGCTTTACAAGAAGAGAGCAAGTGCTATGGGAGCTACAGGAGCACAGGGGAGCCTGAAAAGCATCTGTGGAGGAGGAGTCTGAGCTGGGCTAGAAGGAAGGACAGGACCTGGAAAGAAATGTGTGTCCAAGCAAAGGGCCAGTGGGGGAGAACAGGAAGCCGAGAGAGCGGGACCAGCTGGCACTTTCTTGCCTTGCGTCCCTGCCCACGTGTACCTTGTCTTTGAAGAGCTGCTGGATCTCTGGCACATAGCTCTCAGAATCGGTGGCGATGTAGACTGACTGGGCACTCAGTGCCCTCACCCAGAGCTTCACAGCCCTCCGGATTTCCTTCAGGTCAGGGAGGCACATGGTCATGGTAAGTGGGGCTGCCGTGCTGCGGCTGTAGCCCACACACTGCGGAGAGGCCATGAAGTGTGAGCCCGCGGTGCCGTCCTTCAGCATGGCACAGGCGTTCTTCTACGAGGAGGGTGGGCACTGCGTTAGAGAGCAGCAACTGCTGGGACCCCAGGAGAGGCAACTGCTGTGTGGGGAAAGACAAGACATACAGGAGAAGCCCAGCTACTAATTTTTTTTTTTTCCTATGAGAGACAGAACCCAGGCCAGGGCTGCATCCATACTAGACACATACTCTGCCACTGAGCTATACTTTTTGATTCCCAATACTTTTTTAAAGTATTAAGGGAAGGGGGAAGTGAATCTCTATAGAAAGGTAGTTACACTACATTTGGCATACCTGCAGAAATGTAATTACTTCTGAGCTGGCAGAATATTGGTTTTGCAAAAACAATTTTTTTCTGGGTCTCACTGTGTTATCTGGGACATTCAGTATAATTGTGAACAGTGGTGGTGATAAGAGACAGCTTATCTGATTCCTGACTTCAGCGGGGACACTTCTGATAGCTCCTCCCCATGAGGTACATGTTTGCTGTGGGCTCCAGAGAGATAGCCTTGTGCTTGCCTCGCAGCACATATACAGAGAGATAGCCATTATCAAGTGAGGGTGGGTTGGTTCTATTCCTGGCTGGTTATGACTTTTTATCATGAATAGGTATTAACTTTTATCAAATGCTTTCTTGTTCTCTGAGATGATTGTATGATTTTTTTTCCCCCCTTTGGGTGTTAATACCATGAACTTTATCACATTCTTAAGATAGATTTTACTTGTTTAAGTTGATTTTTTTTTTTTTTTTTTTGTGGCACTGGTGGTGGTACTGCTTATTGAACCCAGGTCCTTCACATTGAGCTATGCCCTACCCCCATCCTTTGGTGGGAGACAGAGTCTTGCTGAATTACCCAACCTGGGCTGGAATTTGCAATCTTCCTGTTTTGGCTCCCAGCACTGCTAGGTTTATAGGCATGTGTCATCATGACTGGCTTGAGTTGTACATTTCTTAATACATTACTGGATTTTACTTCTAATATTTTACTTTGGGTCTGTGCATCTATGAGAATGACTATAACATTGAGTTGATATTATCTGAGTTTGGTATTTGTCTTATGGTACCTTTGTAAAAAAAAATAGCAATTTAATATCTTTTATGTTCTAGGAAAATATAGATGGGAGCTACTCCTTAAAGGCTGAGCTGAAACCATTCATAAAATATTTGGAGCCTAGCTCTTTTTCCTTGGAGCAGGGGACAGGAGGAGCCCAGTGGGTAAATGTGAGATTACCTCATCAAATGGCTATGAATGAATTTTAATCTGATTTCCTTATGCTTCAACATTTTTTTCTTTTTTTTGCAGACCTGGGGATTGAACTCAGGCCCTTGCCTTGCCAGGGAAGCACTTATTCTACTGAGCCATCTCCCCGGCCCCGCTTCAACATTTTAAAATGTTCAACAATGAGCATTTCCAACAAATATATAAATCTCCTCTTGTAAATTAAGGAGACTGTCTATGTTGGTTCTGTTACTTTCAGAAGGTGGGTAATCTGATGAGGCTTCTGCATAGTCAAGCACCTCTAAATTCTGGGAAGATGACATGTTCATTTCTTGGGAACATCACTCGGTCTCCATAGTTCACTGTTCAAGAAGTCTATTAGCCAAGCACTGAGCTGAGACAGAGGACTCCTAGGTTGGGGATTTCTTTCTTTTTTGAGACAGTTTCATATGTACACTAGCCAGGCTTTGAACTCATGGCAATCCTTCTGCCTCAGGCTCCTGAGTGCTTGGACTACAGGTATGTGCTACCATGTCCGGTTCAGAGTCTCTGTTTTGCTGTTTAACTTGAGATCTGGCCTGATGCCTCAATTTATCCATCTGAAAAATGAGGATACAACTAGCAGCTGTTAAAAATGAAAGGTGGCCAGCAATCATTCTAGAGTCACACATCTGATGTGTGTTTTGCTGGAATCATGAGATATAATTCCAGACTTGCCAAGTGAGTGCTCACTACCCTGGCTGGACTCAGGCAATCCCATAGACCAGGGTCAGCCAGGGTGAGGAAGGGGAAGTTACCCAGTCAGAGCCAATGCGCAGATGAAGGCCCACATAGGGCCGGATGAGGTGGGTGCGGATTTGGGCCTCTCCTGTCTTCACCATCTCATCTGACCATACCATGTACTTCTGGAGCGACCTGTGTTCCTCCAGGACAGGGAACTGTGCCGGGGCTCCTGGCAGAGCAAGCACTGGATGTTCCTTTGGTGAAAATCTAGGCATGAGATGGAATGAAAGGAAGTCAGACAGAGGATGCACAAGATACCTAGCTGCCACCTCCATGGGATACCGGGTGACATTGCACCATGCCCCAGAGACCCTGCAGAGAAGCCCCTGTAACATGCAAGAAGCTCAAGAGATTGTGAAATCCCAACGAGCTGATAAGAAACCTTGGCAGTGGTAGCAGGTACAATATGTAATACTGTCCCGCCACATGGAATTTACAACCTTCTTTGCTTGTTTAACAATTAAAAATTTACGGTGGAGCATTCCAACCTTTTATATGTCATGCTGGCTTCCAATTTGTGGCGCGGTGATTCGCTCCAGGGTGGAGTGTCTGGACCAAGCCTTTGCCCTTTTACCCACATGGCGGGACTGAGACATGCAGCTGCTTACAGAGGCCAACGGCTGGGACTGTGTACACTGGATTCGACCATTCAACACTTATTAAATATTTACTGATTCCTACTATGTGCTGGCACCCAGGAAGAATGAGACTAGCATCATCCCTACCCTCATGGAATATACCAAGGGTCTGCAAATATCTCTGTCATACCACATCAAGGCTTTCTTTCCCCACTTGTACAGTAGGCATTTCATAATTATTTCACATCTGTCTTTTTTGCTGGACTGAGACCCCTCAAGACAGCACTACTAGTGTGTCCAGAATAGTGCCTGGCATATGCCAGAGCTCAGTCAATTCAGGGGACTGGGGAGATGGCTCAGTAGAATAAGTGCTTCCTGGCAAGTGCAAGGGCCTGAGTTCAATCCCCTGTTCCACCAAAAAATAAAAAAAAATAAAAAAATTTATTAAATGAATACAAACTTGTGTTTTCTCTATAGCTAAACCCAGACTCCATCCCAGCAACATAAAAACTTTGCTGTTCATGACTCACGATGTCTTTTCAAACTCTAGATCTCTGTACATGTCTTCCCTCCACCTGGACTATCTGTCCTGGCCAGTCAAATACTTTTACTTTTCTTTTTTTGGTACCAGGAACCAAACATAGCATCTTGCACATACCAGGCAAGCATTTGTGCTGCTGAGCTACACCACTGGCCCTCAAATACTTTTTTGAAGCATTATGCAGTAGGAATAGCCACTCTAAAACAGTTTGGAAGTCAGCTTATTATAAAACTAGGTACATGGCCAGGTGTAGTGGTACATGCCTGCGATCCCAGTGCTTAGGAGGCTAAAGCAGGAGGGTTGTTGTGAGTTCGAGACCAGCCTGTGCTACATAGTGAACTCAAGACATAGCCTGGCTCAAAAAGAAAAAAAAAAGCAGAACTAAGTATGCAATCACTGTAGGACCCAGCAATGATACTCTTGGACATGTATCCCATGGAAATGAATGCTTATGTTCACATATAAACCTATACACTACTGTTCATAACAGCATGATTCATAATAGTCCCAAACTGGAAAAAGCCCAGTCACTCAATGAGAAAGTGGGTCAACAAGCTGTGGGACATCTCTAACATGGAAGAGTATCAACACAATGACTAGAATGGCTCTCAAGGGAATTATCCCAAGTAAAAGTGCCAACTCAAAAGGTTATATACTATACAATTCTATTTATGTAATAATGAAATGACAAAATGGAGAAAACACAAATGGAGAAGAGATTAGTGGGGATCAAGGGTTAGGGATCTTGTCTGTTTATTTTTTATTTTTTTGGTGGCACCAGGGATTGAACTCAGGACCTTGGATCTTGTCTGTTTAGGGAAGTGGGTGTGATTATAAAATGGTAACACAGATTCTTACCATGACAGAACCATTCAGTATTTAATTGCAGTGGGGAATAGATTAACCTACATATAAAAAGACTACACAGAGGGGGCTTGCAGGTTAGCTCAGTTATTTAAAGCACCTGCTTGGGCACTCAGTCAGGCCAGGGGTCCACAGTTTGATCCTAAGCTCCACACGCCACACCAGACCACCCTTAAGGCAGCCTTTGTAGCCAAAAAAAAAAAAAAAAAAAAAAAGAATCCTTCAAAAGACTGCCCAGAACTAAATACAAACATGCATGAGTATAAGTAAAACAGGAAATCTATCTAGATAAATGGATTGTATCAATGTCAATATCCTGGTTGTGACACTGTACTATAGTTTTGCAAAATGCACCAGTGTTAGAAGCTGGGTAAAGGGGACATTAGATCTTCCCATATTGTTTCTTATAACTGGGTGTGAACTGACAATTACTGCAATACAAATCAGAAATAAAAATTATTAAATATTTCAAACTGTAAGGCAAATACAGAAAACAACAATCCACATACCTATGACTCAAATTAGCAGAAGCTAGTATTTGGCTTTCAGATTTTTTTTTTAAAAAGCACTTAAATATTCTACTAGCTTTCCTTTTTTTCTTCCCATTCCCAAAGCATTTTTTTCCTGCATGATTAAACCTATCTAGTTATCTATCTATTTGTCTATCTATGCCTATTATTTATCCATACCTTAGTTTCACTTAACTGTTTAATACAGCTATAACATTTCCTACCTCATAAGATTTTTTTTTTTTTTTTTTTTTTTTTTGGCGGTGATAGTACTGGGAATTAAACCCAGGGCCTTTGCAGTGAGCTACATTCCCAGACCTTTTTGAATTTTTTAAACTTTGAGATAGGGTCTCACTAAGTCGCTAAATTGCCCAAGCTGTTCTTTTTTTTGGTACTGGGGATTGAATTCAGGAAGGTGCTTATGCTGTTGAACTATCTCCCCAGCCCTCCAAGCTGGTTTTGAACTTGTGATCCTCCTGCTTCAACCTCCCCAAGGTTGGGATTACAGGTATGTACCACCATGCCCAACTTTAAGGCTGTTTTTTTTTTTTTTTTAACACTCCCTTTGG